AAATTTCACAGAGAAATTTCGAGCCCTTTCCATCGCACGCTAAGTGACTATATAAGCTTCCTCATACCTGATAAGTATTTGACTGAAATCTATTCTATGGTCGTTAAAAAAACTAAACTAACAATTAAAAAACGACAACAGTCCGAATATAATCGCACCAAAAAAAAAAACCATTTTATCATAATCTTAGATGAAGTAGAAACCTGCTTTCATAGGTGAACTTAGAAATAATTATGCAATTATTTCTAAGTTCACCTATGTGTTCGACTGTATGTTTTTTTATGTGTTACCTCATAACTTTTTTCTGGGTGAACCGATTTCGATGATTTTTTTATTTAAAAGATGGTGCTTTTCATGTGGTACCATATAAATTTGATCAAGGTCTGACCAAGAGTTTTCGAGTTATTCTTAATAATTTTTACTGAAGTCGCTTGAACAAAATTTTTTATTTTAAATTATGTTCTATTTTATTACGGTTAAATGTTGTAAAGCAAGTATCTACAAATGTTTTCATTATGAACGCATATAATATTCCTCGGAACTTATCCTAAATTTTTGTTCATTGCTCACACGTGTATGTGGGCATAAATAATCAATCTTATATCCATTAAAGCTTCCATTACTGTTTCTGTTTCCCTCTATCGCCTCTTACGACACCCACGGGATGATAAACGTATCGGTGCGTATCTTTGTTGATCACATGACGGAAAAAAAAAACTATTGAAGCATGTGCATGATTATTGTTACATAAGAGATCTGCCCTATACCATACTAACGCTAATTCCCGCTAGAATTCACACAAAAACAATATTTTGTTTTCGAACAAACTGGCGAAATGCCAATTGTTTGTTTTACTAGAACAAGAGTTTTGTAACGAATTTAATGGGTTTAAATTGAAAGTAACTGATATTTAAATCTCTCTATGGGGTAGATCTTACATCGTTAAAGCTTACAAGCATTGTGTCCCAAAGACGCTCTGAAAATACCTCTAAGTGTCCCATTTATGGTGTTTGTACAGTAGACGTGTACATAGACACAAAAATATTCTTAATTGAATGCATGTATTTACGGATAAGTGAAGTTAATATAATCTTTATATATAAAAATTACGTGCCACGTTGTTTGTCCGCGATGAACTCCTAAACCACTGAACTGATTTCAATGAAATTTTGCACACTGTGTGCAGTTTGGTCTAACTTGAGAGATAGGATAGTTCTTATCCCGATAAGTGACCCTCAGTATTTTTTATTTCGAATTTAAGTATTTTTATAGTACAGAGGTTCGCCGTTTAGGGCAGAACAATGTCTGGCTGGCCAGCATCAGCCTTCCAATTGTGAATCTAAATCATCCAGGGACGATGCACACAAAAATTTTCATGAAAATCGTACGAGCCGTTTTGTAGTTTTAGCGAGACTAACGGACAGCAATAGACTTTTATATATTATATCATTTATATAACACAAATTCCAACAAATAGAGCTGCATTTCGTGATATTTCTTTAGTTAATTTATTGCTTAGTTTTTTAATCTTTAATTAACGTTTGCCGCAATTGCATCGATATTAGTAATCTTCCGTTTTCATTACTTGCTTAAAATTGCTACGCTCTAAATTACGCGACATTAAAATTTTCGCCATAATTTGTGTGTGCACACGCAAGTTTAAATGCAAATTAGTATGTAAATCTTTAAAAATATTTGTGTGCGTAATTGTGTACGTGTACGACATATCATTCTTTTTAATTTTAAATTTAACATAAGTAGGTTAAATATTAGTACATATACTCATGCAGCCGCGTCGGTGAAACGTTACAAGAAAACGCGACCTTTTATATAATACCGTCCAAAATTTCTCCACTACATCGTTATAGAAGTTTCACTTACAAGTAACAAGTGGTAAAATTAAAAATTTTGTACAACCGACTTCAATATAAATTGTGACCAGTAAAAGGTGTGACCAGTAGTTTTTGAGTTATTCTTAATATAACTCAAAAACTACTGGTCACACCTTGATCAAATTTATATGGGACTACACGAGACACCAGCACCAGCTTTCAAAAGAATAAAAGAATCATCGAAATCGGTTCACCTAGTAAAAAGTTATGAGATAACACACATAAAAAACATACAGTCGAATTGAGTGCCTCAACCTTTTTGAAGTCGGTTAAAAAGTAAAGTCACAGCCTACACTACGTCCCACGGCTGGACACAGGCCTCTTCTCCTTCCTGAAAGAGTAATATTGCAATAAAGTCTGCTGCACAGCTTCAGTGCGTTATTGACGGACTGTACTAATCCTCAAAATATTTTATTCTTCGGGCGTGCAGAATTCCTCACGATGTTTTGTTCCACCGGTGAGCACGGTAAAACAACACTCAAAATTGTAATTAACAACTTTGGTTGTTCTGGCGAGGATCGCACTCAGATTGCTTGTATATCTACAGTGAAATTCATGACGAGCCTTTAACCTTTTTAACTACCACGGCTGTTTAAAAATGTAATTAAAGTAATTAAAAAATAGTTTAAAATAGATAGGGCTCATTAATATATTTATATGATGTTCCTTTAGTTTTTTAGGGTTTCTATTAGTTTTTAGGGTCCTAGTCCTAGTTCTAGGTAGAATATTTTTGCCTAATATTCAGTACGGGGGTGAGATACCACCAACTTCCTGAATCCGGGCAGCTACTGAGAATTTCTTGACGGAAAAACTCAATAACTAACTTTTCTTGGCCCGACCCGGGATTCGAACCCTGGACCTCAAGATCAGCTGTCAGCTGTCGCGTTTACAACCACTAGACCAACGACGCACTCAATATTGCATGGCTGATCTCTAGAAGCCACGTAGTGCATTGCAGCGATGGCCTGGCGCCGCCGTCGCGCCGTCCTGCATATAAAAATCTGTGACTTGATTCTGGTGTCAAATCCAACATCTAATCACAGAATCAATAATAATACGGTTTATGGAAGCTGCCGACTGTAGGAACGCAGTAAAACTCCTTTCACCATGTGGGTACCATTGCAGTGAAAATCTTGGCACTGCAGAGAAAACCTTCTCCTTATTTAGAAGAACTTATGTGCCGACGAGATCTGACAAACTTTTCATTTAAAAAGAAGTGCGTAATAATTAAAAGTCTATGCAATGTGGGCGCGGACTAAACGTTTTTTTTTTAAAATTGCGCATATTTATTCGATACTCGACAATGTTTTACTCGGCCGACTAACTGATTATAATTGATGAGTATTTGAGTATTATATATATATATATATATATTCATGATACGATACCGCGGGGAGTAGGACTGCATGATAATTACTCGTAAGTTACTGATTTTAGTTTTTTTAATTATAGTGTTTAATATTGTATATAATAAAATATTGTATTTTATGTATATTAATTTTTTTAACGTTACCCCCACACCAGGATTTTCTCCTGTGTCGTGGAGGCAGTTTACAAACATAAATTTCACAAGAATAAACATTCAGACCCGGAACAATTATTTGTAGGCCATACAAATACTTGTTCCGTGCGGGATTCGAACCCGCGGCCCCCAGCGCAACAACTCATTGCTGAGAAGCTACTGCGCCATGCGATGATAATATGTGTACATACGAACTGCGGCACAACAAACAAACGTTTGCCCATAGATAATATAATATACAGGGTTATTTTTCAGAGTAGCCAAATTTTAATCTTAAATTCAAATATATAAATAATGACATGCCGTTATTGCAATTTTTGAAAACCAGCTTCTAAGTTAAGACTTTTACTTTTATTTGAAATTATCCCAAATTGAATGTGATTTATGGGCAACAACGTTTTTGCCTACCGATCGACCCTTACGAATGTGTGCGTGCGCAGTAAAATCAGTTAAAATAATTATTACCACGCATTTGAAATTAAAAATATAAAGAGGAAAGAATGTTTGAGATGTTTTTTATTTATTTTTCTTCACCATTTGCCTTATACTTATATTACTTATTTGATGAAAATTCTCTCCAATTTTCTCTCAAAATTTGGCCAGTTATTGCGAAATTACCCTGTATAGGGCAGCTTTGCCTTTATGAAAATATAATATATAAACAAGCATATAGTATATAGTATATTAGGCCGCTACGCTTTCGCCCACGGTTCTCCTTGAAACCAAAATATAATATAACCTTTAAAAAGTTATTATCTCTATAATAACTATGATTTTTTTCGAAATTTCTAGAAAAAAGCTTCCTATATTTTCTCTTGGGGAATTTGTATTTCTATTTAAATTTTTCAATAATTCTAAATCACCCCAGTCATATGTATTCAGTATTAGCTGTCTTATACACACCTAGGTATATACCTAGAATCCTAAAAACCGAGTTTCATAACGTTTTTTTTTTATATAAAACTGAAGTGACAATCGACTAACAGTCCATCTGATGGTAAGTGGTTACTGCAGTCCATGGATATTTGCTGCCAACTTTAAACAAAGAAGACTACAATGATCCACGACTTTTTCTGCCACCAGGGCGGTGCCACTTAAAAGTGATATATAATATATTTTTTAAAGATAAAAATGTGCAAAAAATTAAAGAGCAAACCACTAAGGCATTGTTTTGTGTATTAATATAATACTCTAGAAATTGATAAACTTTTATTTAAAACTAACTTCTCAATTAATTGACATTGTGTAACAAAAAAAAACTTAATCTCAGTGTCAACTAGCGAAATCTGGTGGGCAGAAAATTGTTAGCCCTCATTACGTTGTCAGCTCCGAGGACTAAAAGGGAGTGCCTCAAAGCTTCAGAACGGAACACACCAGTGTAAGCGCTGGTATTTGGCGGCAAAAATAGGTAAAATGTAAGAGAGTGGTAACCTACCCAGAAAGACTTTTAGGCCTATAAAGAGTCCTACCACATAGGATTTAATTGGTACCGCAAATATCAAATAATGCTCAGCAGTCATTACTCGGTGTAAACACTTATTTACATACCTCCTAACACTTTTCTTTATTCTTTCAGGGACCTAGAGATGGGTACCTTAATAAAAAACATAACAGTGTACTACGACATCGTGAACAATGAACTTGCAGGTAAGGAACTCTTAGGAGTCGCTTTAATTATCACCTTATCAATATTAAACAGGATCGATTTGCGTTGTAAACAGGTCATGGGTCGTTGGTCTTTATTTACGAATTAGTTACTATAAGTTCCTAATGATTGTAATGGGTTAACATTATTAAGCGTTTGCTGATGTCATAGAAATGTATAGATTATAGATTTAAAGTAGATTTAATGAACCCTGGTACAAGTAAAATATTTTTTTAAATGTTAGAAAATGTTATAGTTGGGAATACACGTACACTGCAGAGGAAATACCACACATATATATATATATATATATATATATATATATATATATATATATATATATATATATATATATTCGTCTACTACAACATCATATTTCTGATAACTATACTCAAAATAAGAATACGAGGCCAAATGAAAATTAAAATGAAAGAATTAATCATCAGTAATCTAAATGGAGTGACAACCTGGTAGGACATGCTGGAAGCATGCACATTTTATACGTGGCAGACCCATGCTGCAGCTATTATTAGTATAGTTGTAGCACGAATGCGTCGGCTCGACCGGGGAAGGACCACGCTCTCACAGAAAACCAGCGTAGAATGGCAGCTTAATGCTGCTGTGTTTCGTATGGTGAGTGTAGAGAACCGGAGACGGAATCGATACGGACGGAAAGATGAAATGCCTCGTTTCCAGTAAAAAGGTTACTGGAAACGAGGCATGCCACCTTGGTCCTCACGGGTGACGACGAATCTGCATTTTGATTCGTAATCGAAGATAGATGTAGATGTCTATGGGCCACAGCAGCCACTTACCATCAGGTGGACTGTGTGCTCGTTTTCCACCCTTGTCTTATAAAAAAAGTCGATGGACACAGGTGGCTCAGAACCGTGCTTTGTGGTATTCCTTGGGGAAGGCCTATGTTCAGCGTTCAGTTCATACTAAATGAAGAGACCACATGTTACAGCGCATCACAAACCCACTGCTGAGTATGGATGCAATAATTCGATGGATGCAGGTGGCTCAGTAATAAGAGTACCAGGTGGTAAGAGTACCAGGTCGTTACTCCATCCAGTGGGAGCCATCCCATACTTCGCTTACGGGTACAAGGGTGTCACTCGAAAACCTTTCTTCCTCATCGATTGTCGGTTCTACGAGCTACAGATTTGTTTAAATATGTTTTCTGTTTCTTTTTCACAGACCACCGCACCAATAAATTTATATTAGTGTCATCACCTCTGCCTATCCTGATGATAACGTTCTTGTACCATCGCTTCGTGCGGTCGTGGGGTCCAGCCTTCATGGCCAATCGACCTCCATTCCAGCTAAAGAAACTTATGATAGTATATAATATTGTACAGATATGTTTATCATGTTTTCTTGTAGTGGAGGTAAGTCACATAATGTATTATTACAAAAAATACTGCAGAAAAACACAACATCACAGATTAATCTTCTCGGCCAGAACCTATCTATTCCTGTAAATCTTCTATAAAATAAAATTATAGAGGTTGCAGTTGTGCGCGCATCACGGAAAAACTACTCAATAGATTTCATATAAATTTTCTAAGTTTTATTTCTTAGACAGTTGGCCCTTATCTAAAAAAATATTGGGATATCTTCATTTAATATAAAGTTATTAAAGTTTTACGCTTTTAAAAAACAAGGATTTTTATAAGCACTACGTGTTCAGTGATGTGTAATTTCTAGATATAGCAACGCGGACGAAGTCGCGGGTATCAGCTAGTGTTATAATAAAGCTATACATCCATTGTGTGTTGTCAGTCACTGTCTACCATCTTCCCTATATACAATGTACTCTGTGCTGTCTACACAAGTGACACAACTGAGTCGTAGTCCTCCAATGCTGGTCATATGGTGAAGCTCAAGGGCGCTTAATCTATGGTTTGGAATTTCTCTGCGTTATGGATTCTGTTATGAATAGATCCGCAGTAAAACATAAGTAATTCGCATAGTTCACTGGATCCAATAGAAATCAGACAATAACGGAGAAGAAAGGTAGAGTGTAAGCGTCGTATCGTTAAATGTGGCGCATTTGGCTCAGGATCTGTTGTGTAGCAGTCTTTTTGAGAAACATATGTTAAGCGGCCTGTGATGGACTTTAATAATAATGATGATGATAAGACTTTTCGTATATGACTACAGCGTACTTTACGTTTAGTTTTATAAGACAGACCAATATTAGGGAACAAAACTAGACGGTATCTACAGGGAGGCTTAACAAGAGGCTGACAACGGACGGACTTAATGCGTTAATTACGCTAAAACCCATTCTGAGGGTAGATAGTTTCTCATTGTCTGACAAAAGTAATAGTATAACAGAACATATCTGCGCGCTTTGCGCTTAAGACATGCAAAAATAATACGAGTATACTTACGCCAAACTTAACTGATTGCGTAAATTATCAACAGGTTCATCAGAATGCTTTTGGCATTAAGTCCGCCTTTTGATTCTGTATTTAATATATGAGGTTCAATAAAGTTTAAATAAAAAATAAATAAATAAATGCTATTGAAGCAGCACCCTTTTGTTTTTACGTTTATCGTATTGATAGTGTTTGCGCAAAATGCTAAAGGAGACGGTCCATTTCTGGCCCAGTCTATGTACAGTATACCGTAAAATAGAGAAAAATTCAGGGATTTTGTTAAAAATAAAATGAGAGAATAAATCAAACTAAATAACTTGCAAAAAATAAAAATGCAATCCCAAGTTTTTAATGGTTTTACAAGATGGTGCCCTTCCAGTCATAAAAAAGCAAAAAAGACACGGTTATTTGTCAAATGTCATTTCTGTCAAATGATATTTTTATTTAATCCGAACTTGTTCTGAACTCGTGAATGTATTTAATTGTGGATTTCTTTGGAGATTTGGACTTTGGATTACGACTTCTTGACTCTGCTTTTGTTTTATGGACTTAATTATTTACGTGAGATCTCGATTTCGTTGATATCGGACATCTGTATTCTGTAGAATCACATTTTGAATCAGTAAGCAGGTATGTATTAAAAAAAGATGTTTCCTTAAGCTATTAAACGCATTTTAATGACATGCTTCTATCTGTAGTCTGTTAATAATTATTAATTTCTACATAAGTTCATAATGGCTGCAAAATCTTAATATCATTGAGTTATATGTACTACGTACTAGAGAAGCCATTCCGAACATTGACTATGCTCAACTGAACTGTAGTGCAATCCATACAAACTAAATATTGCGTAAATTGAAGATTTGTGAATTCCATAAAATAATTATTATTACATTTTATTTAGAAATATGTTTGTTTAGATTAAATTAAGATATTTTATATTAAATTCTTATATTTATTTTATATTAATACCTTATTTTATATTAAATTAAAGTCTTCGCGCATGCGCGACTACTACTCCCGCGCATGCGCGAAGACATAGAGTAGGGCACAATTTTTGTTTGGGATGGCTTCTCTAGTACGTAGTACATATAACTCAATGCTTAATATGATGTAATTATCTTTCAGTTCACCTGTTAAAACATGTTGCACTGTCTAAAATGCGCTTCTGCAATATAGATAGTTTATTAAAGTAAAATTGTTTTGTTCTAGATGGATGAAAATGCACCAATATATTCACAATGTTTTGCAAACGTATTACGAGAATTATCTGTCGGCACAAATCATGAAAATGAACTTCAGCGCCCTAATGCCAATATTATGAGTATATTGTATATTGGTGTCAACGAAGACGGGGTAGCAGATAAGTTGTAACCCGATTAATATAACCCCAACTATACTCTGTTTTAATAAGCGGCCGTATAAAATCTCACCATCACTCGGACAGAGCTTATTATACATATATACTGTTGGCGAGACAAGGGACAAGTTGGGATGAGATGATTGCAGGTTATTATTGCAGTTGCACTTCTGGATAACAGACAGTGGGTTGCTGTGCCCACATAATGACCGCTGCCTGGTATTTGTGTTGGGCTCGGTATCAAAATTCCATAACCGCACCGGCCTCAATTCTGGATGGCATTTTATTAAGAGAGAATTTCGAAGTAGGATAAATAAATAAAAAAATTTAAAAATTAAGCTGTTTTATTTATATTACCTTAAGTATCCAAAACATGATTGACCTAATGTTTCACTTTCTATAACTTATAGGACTGTTCACCTTTGTTATGACATTATCCAGACTTTAAATGTCTGTCAAGGCTCAAGGCATACTCCGACACGCTGAGGACCTGTTATATGAAAATATTTGTACGCCGGAAACGTATTTAGGATGCGAATTCTTTTGTAACAACTGTAATGTACCATATTATAACAAATATATTATCTATGATTGTACTCTAGCACTTCAGCAGCCCAGATAGACACATATACCTGAACAGAAATTAGTATTCAAGATTATTCTGTTTATCCACCTTAAAACAGCCACTCTAAAGTAAAATGAGTTAAATATATTCTTAATTATTAGTGCAATAAAGTAGTATCTCAGGGTGAATTTTTTAGGGTAGAGAAACGGAGTTACCCGCTATTCACATATAATCTCGGCTTTGAGCTATCTGGCACATAATTTTTGTAAAAGCTAACAAAACACTTAGGCTCCATTTCCCCATGTAAAACAAAAATGTCCTGGATGCCCCTGGCACTGAAGTGTGCATTAGTACACACTAATGAATGCAATGATATAATTTTGTGTGTAGACACCGTTGATTTATCTCAACAATCTTCTTGTTTGGAATTAGGTAGTACTTTTACATTTGCGCTCTGACCGCGCGATGTCTTATCATTAATCTATGGCTATAGGTGATATCAGAGATGACAGCTAACGTCAAATCAAAACGACTTCAATTCGCCATTAGTGTTGCAGTTTTTGGTGAGAATAAATATTAATTGCACTGAAATTAAGGCAAATTCGTGAATTTGAATGATCAAAAGTGGTTTAATATTTCATTTTAACTTATTTCCATACTAGTACATAAACTAGGCCTACGCTTCATACAATTTTGGACCGTCTCCTTTTAATTTATTTTATTACGAAGCGCGCGACGCAGTGCATTCCTGGCCGGCATGACGTGTAGATAACGGGACTCGTTTGCCGACGCGTCGCACGCCACGAGCAGTCGTTTTGCTCCGTTGAACTGCGAGGTCGCGTGTAAAAGGGAAGCTATTAGATCCGCGTGGTCGCGTACCGAATAAAGACGAGGGTTTTGTTGAGTTGAATGATTAACTTAACTTTGCTTGCAAGTAATTTACGTCAATTTGTATAGTGATTGCCTGTTGAAGTACATTTGACAATATTAATTTTGCTCGTGTGGCATTTGATATAGTTCGTAGACATTTTCCTTGTCAGTTAAAACGCTAAAACTTTGTGACCCGCGAGAAATAGCGTTCGTATTAGATTTGTGCTAAGTGACTCTAGACTTGAGTGAAATCGAGTTGACGCCGCTGGAGTGATACCACATCGTGGGGCGGTGCCGGGTGTCAGGGTTGCTGCCGATTAAATGGGCCATCAGGTTACATGTATATACACTTTCTAACACAAACCTACAAACACATACTTAACGCCTGACAGCGCCTTGGGGTCGGTCCTCGATTCGGAACCCGGTAAGTTCGTATTAATTACCTAGCCTTATATACTACATATCCATAGGCCATTTGGGCCCGAACTCTCTGGTTGCTCGTCGAGTGCATTACTGATGGGCCCTAATATAGTCGACTTCTGTCTGGGCAACTAAGAGCCGTAACATAGTTTGGTAGCAGAGCGTGGTTGATTGATTTCCAATCACGCCCGGCCGCAATATTAATAAAAATAGTAGGTAATAAATACGTACGTACGTAATATAGATATTATTTGTGTTTTGTTAGCGGATAGGTGGGTAGAATTAGGAACCACGCCCGTTAGGTTGCGCAAACAGGAGTTTGTTAGGGCTAGGTACGCGTCAAGTATTTTGGGTAGGTAGGTTAAATAGCCGAAGGGTCGGTCGCTTCAGCGAGGCATCTTTGTTGACCGACTGTGTAATTTGTATTTAGTAGTGATGCCATCGCACAAGCTACCGGCGCTTCGCCTGCAGGCGGAGCTGCGCTGGGCCACGAACGCCCATATCCTGATAGAACGACCTGATCGGGTCCATAGTTTAGAGAAGCGGCTCGAGCAGGTCGCGGCCCGAAGGGCCGTAGTGGAGGAGGCTTGCACAGAGCTATTAGCCTCGGATGCGGAACAGAGAGTCCTAGACTCCTGCCTCGCGGACTACGAGCAATTCTTTTCGCTCACGGACGACTTGATCGAGGCGGGGGCCAAGTATGCTGAGGAAGCGCGTGAAGCTCGGCTGAGTGGCCTACCCGAGTCCCCTCGGAAGCAGCCTACTCAGCCGGAGCTTTTAGGACGACTC